CACACCCCCTGACCAGGATTCCAAGCCTGGCGGGCAGTTTCCAACTTCGTAACATGGGAATACACCGCATTACATATACTGGGACCGCAATGTCCATAAAATCATCCGAGAGGACATAGTCCAAATGGGGTCCTCCAAAACGCCGAGTTTAATGCTCTCCTTCAGAACCAGACTTGGCGCCTAGTTCCTTACACTCCGGGTATGAATGTTGTGGGGTGTAAGTGGGTGTTTCGGGTCAAGAGGAACGACGATGGGTCTGTTGAACGGCATAAAGCCCGGTTAGTAGCGAAAGGCTTTAATCAGGTTGCGGGCAATGACTTTTTTGAGACCTTCAGTCCGGTTGTTAAGCCCACCACGATCCGTCTTCTGCTTTCCTTAGCTCATTCACATGGTTGGTCTATTCGGCAACTGGACATTCACAATGCATTCCTCAATGGTACCCTAGCTGAGACAGTGTATATGTGTCAGCCGCCCGGATACGAGGACAAGTTAGTGCCCGATCACATTTGTTTCCTCCAGCACTCATTGTATGGGCTCAAGTACGCCTCACGTGCATGGTTTACTCGGTTGCACAATTTCCTTATTTTGGTTGGTTTTGTTCCATCCAAGACTGATGTCTCCTTGTTTATTTATTCTGACAATGGTGTGCAGCTTTACTTTCTAGTTTATGTAGATGACATCCTTGTCATGGGCTCAGATTCGCACCGTGTTTCAAGACTGGTGCCCTGACTTGCAAATGAGTTTAAGATTCGTGACATGGGGGCTCCGTATTTCTTTCTTGGCATTGAGACTGTGCCGCTCTCTGATGGTATCCTTCTCTCTCAGCGGCGCTACATTCAGGACATTCTCAAGCGTGCAGGGATGGTCGACTGCAAGCCGGTCTCCACTTTGGTCTCGGTTGTTCGGACTGATGGTGTTGATGTTACTCCCTTTGCTGATCCTACGCACTACTGCAGTCTGGCCAGTGCGCTGCAGTATTTGACAATGACTCGCCCGGATTTGTCTTATGCGGTCAATCGGCTGTGTCAGCATATGCAGGCCCCCACCACTGCTGACTGGAGTATGATGAAACAGGTCTTGAGGTATGTGAAAGGCACCCTTGGTATGGGCCTATGTGTTCGCAAGTCTCTGTCTACCTCACTCCATGTGTTCTCTTATTCGGATTGAGCTGGCAATCCGGATGACAGGAAGTCCACGAGTGGTTTTGCAGTCTATTTGGGTACCGATCTGATTGCGTAGTCGTGTCGGAAACAGCGCACGGTGGCGCGTTCTTCTACTGAGGCGGAATACAAAGCCTTGGCTGATGTGGCGGCTGAGGTAACATGGCTCGTTTCCTTGCTTAAGGAGATTGGGTTTCCCCCGGCTTCTGCGCCTAGTTTGTGGTGTGACAACTTGGGTGCGACGTATCTCTGTGCCAACCTGGTCTTTCATGCACGAACGAAGCATGTGGAGATTGATTACTACTTCGTTCGGGACAAGGTCGCCAAGAAGGAGATTCAGATTCATTTTATTTCCACGAAGGATCAGCTAGCTAACATTTTCACCAAGCCTCTTGCGTCTACTCGGTTCTCCTATCTCCGTGGCAAGCTCAATGTTGCGGCTGCTCCACCTTGAGCTTGAGGGGGAGTGTTAGGACTCTTAGGGTCCGTTTGGAAAGCAGGAAAATGACTTTTGGAAAATGACTTCTGGAAAATGAGTCATTTTCCAAAAGTCATTTTCCTTTCCGGTGTTTGGCTGCAAAATGGAAAACTGTCTTTTGGTGTTTGGCTCATTTTCTGAAAATGATGTAGAATTGTATAATTAAACATTTTAAATAATTAATTATTTTATTTAAAATATATAACATTTACAATAATATTATAAATAATAATATGTATTAATAAAATCAAATAATATTATTTAATAATTTTTTTAAAAAAAAAAAACAACAACAACAAAACAAAAAAAAAAACGGCGGAAACCAGAGAGTACAACTCTCTGGTTTCCGCCGTTCTCTCTGGCTTTCGGCCTGAAAGGCGGAAGCCAGAGAGAAGCTCTCTGGTTTCCGCGGTCGAAAGCCAGGGAGAAGCTCTCTGGTTTCCGGCGGAAACCAGAGAAGAGCTCTCTGGTTTACAGCGGAGCTTTTCTCTGGTTTTCGGCCAGAAACCAGTGAAGGTATGGTGTTGTTGAAGGAGGAATCTGGCGTTTGTGTGTGTGTTTAGAAGATGGAAAATGACTTCCCCCAAAAAAAGGGAAGTCATTTTTCGGAAAATAGGTGTGATTTTCCATTGACCATAAGTTATTTTCCATTGACGTTCATTTTCCTTGCCTAGCCAAACACTAGAAACCCGGAAAATGATTTCCAGAAATCGTTTTCCGGGTTTCCAAACACACCCTTATATTTGTGGTCTATTAGGATTTTCTATCTGTCTCTCTATATCCTTATTGTAGAGACTATTATTCAGTTATGTTAATGAATCCAATCCTCATCACCTTCACTTGATTTACATTTTGATATGAACCAAGTCTAAAATAATGTAAATAGGCTTGACTTGGATTTAGTTCTTCTTCTTTGAACCAATTATTATTGTGTGGATCATTATCTACTATAAAATAATGTACATTCAGTACAAAAATAATGTACATTTGGTATATTAAAAATGTACTTTTTTGTTATGGTAACATTTTGTGGATCATGGTCCACACAATAATTTGCCTCTTTGAACATAACCAATGAAGAGTTGCCTTAATTGTTTGGACTTGGACCTTATGATTGGCCCAATTGGTACTTTTAATGGATCTTCATTATGTTGGGCCGCATCACATTTAGTTCCACCCCATGAACATTTCCACCATTATAAGTTGTCCCAAATGTCACTGTACAACTAATGGATCTTCCAAATACAATTGGCATCGTGCTCCTAACTACATGATTTCTTAATTAATAATCATAGAGAAAAGGGTCAAATAGGCCCTTAAACATTTCGCTAAAGGTCAATTAACCCCACAAACTTTTGAAAAGGTCAATTGAACACATGAAGACACAATTTTGAGTCACTTGACCCCATTAACCGGTAACTCCACAGGTAATAGCAGGTAATTGACTATGTGGCGCCACGTAAGCTTTATTTTATGTTATTTCGATTCGCCACATCAGCATAAATTAACAAAATAAAATTAAAAGATGATTTATATGACTGAGTACGGTGCTTAGGCTACAGCCCTAATCTCACGTCGAAATCGTCTCTTCATCTTTCTTCACTTCTTCTTCGAAATCTTCTCTTCTTCTTTCTTCGAAATCTTCTGTTTTGTCTTTCTTCTATGCCATCTGACCCAACTTTACATTTCACCATTGGAGATGACATTATCAGGTTGGAGTGGTTCACCATTTTCGTTTCCCTCAAAGGCAAGATCAAATCTACAGTATGAACCACCATTGTATTGCCGTTGTGGGTTGAAATCACCACTATGTATATCACGAGAGAATGGGCAACAATTTTTTGGGTGTCAAAGGTGGAAGGTACATGTATTGCATTTAAGGTTTAAAAATGTTATTGATAAGTGTCTAATATGTATTGCATTTAAGGTATAAAAATGTTATGAATTTTTTGTTTAATTTTGTACTTGTCCAGGAAGGGGGATGTGGATTTTTAATCTGGAAAAATGCTCTATGGAAAGATGATGAGGTTGACTCTGATTGGAATAAGAATGTTGGAATAGAGTTGAAAAAGATTGAAGTCTGAAATTATGGAAGAAATCCGACAATTGCGAAGTGATGTTGAGAAAGATTTTGAAGCTGAAGTTGAAAGAAAAAAAAAAGACAAAAGAAACATAATAATTGATTTTATTATTGTGTTAGGAATAGCTACGTTTGTAAGTTTGCAACAAAGGTTAAATCCTTATGGTTCTATGATGCCTTTGCTATAGTTAGTAATATATTAATTTGGTTTATTTGTGTTGCCATATGGATGTACGTTACTAGTTACTTCAATGAAGTTTGTATTATTTTTTGTTGTCAAATTGATGTTGTAGTTTAAACTTGTTTTAGTTGAGTATTTAATAAAGAATGTACAAAAAGTGACCAAAAGTGTTCTTCAAAACAGATACAATCCAGCAAAAGAGATACAATTTGTGGTTTGTGTGAATGTGTATATACCACACGGACATATAGCTTCCCTGCGTAACAGAAAGAAAGTGGATGCTCCAATTTGGAGCATTTTTACTGGAATTATACAAAGATGAAATGTTTATTAGTTCTGACCACACCCCCTTCTGCCCAATGGAGTTTGATAAGACATTATTGCCAAAAGCTTAACACCATAAAGAAATACAAGCTGCCAAAAGATAACTACATTATAATCTACCACTGCATTTACATTTTAGTTTCAATGTATCTTACTCATTGTCAAGACCTTACTACCGAATGCTTAACACCAAACATAGATACAAGTTGGCAAGATATACAATCCAACAAAAAGAGATACAACCAAGGTGTTACTAAAAGTTCATACAACAGCATCTACCAAAAATAAAGTAAGTTTGTAAGGTCAGTTCATTGAGGCTTGAGAAGCTTGATTGCTTGAGTTTGATCCAGGGTGAATGACTTGCTCCTGTGATTGACCAAGCTACAACAAAGGAAAAAGAGTATAAACAATTAATATAATAACAATTACAACTATAACATGACAGTAGTTGGAGTACTTACATTCGTATTAGGACATTTTGGTTTATAATGGCCCGAGTTCTTACAAAGAGAACATCGCATCTCTTTTCCCTTCTTTGAGACTCTTTTCTTTGCAGAGGTAGAGGTAGTCTTATCGGTAGTTGATGTATTTTTCTTAGGACGTGATGGACCTTCACTTGCCTCACATGTTCTATTTCTCTTTGGTCTTCCCGTCATTTTTTTAGGAATTGGAGCAAGTATCTCCTCAATTTGTGTCCTTGGCCAGAATAGCTCTCCATTCATTGGTTGAAGTGCATGGGTGTATGTCCTTAGATATGCCTCTTTTGAATAGCATGAGTCAATGTACTCATGAGGTTCCCTTCCAATGTCAAAGATGGCGCATATTGCATGTGGGCATGGTATACCAGAAAGATCCCATGCGCTGCATGAGCAATTTCTAGCTGCAAGTTTGACCTTGAATTGTTGTCTCCCTTTCTTAATTTCATAACCATCATCTCCATTGAAATCAACCTAGCGCATATATTCAACAAAAATTAAATTCAGCATTATATTAAGCACATATTCATCTGCTCAAGTGAAAGTTAACTTACCTTCCACCCCATACTTTCATGTATATTTGTATCCAACTTCTTCATGATCAATGGTCCATAATTTCCAGTCCAGCTTTCCACCGATTTAATTTTTTTTGAAATCCTCCGCATCACCCCTACTCTTATATCTTCCAACATAGGGATAACAGGCTTGACTCTTGCTTTGACTAAGGTGCTATTAAAAGCCTCACTGAGATTGTTATCCACAGCATCACACTTGACAGTTGTTCTAAAGAAGGCCTTGCACCAAAATCTTGGAGGGTACCTTCAAAACACATATTATAATTTAGATTGTGCATATTTAAAACACATCAGATTCTGGGCATATAAAACAGATGTTATAAATCAGTTTCTGCACATCTAAAACACAAGTTATAAATCAGTTTCTGCACATCTAAAACACAAGTTATAAATCAGATTCTACACCTCTAAAGCACACTTCAAAGTCAGTTTCTGCACATCTAAAACACAAGTTATAAATCACCTTTCTAAGTCAATTTTTGCTGTAGGGTCTATCTTTCCTAAACATTTCATTTGTTCTTGGAATTTAGGTTCATTGGTAGCCTTTGCACACATCCAAAAGTGTTTTTTCAACACTTTGTCTCTATGCAGCTTACTCCAATTGGCGTGCACGTGTCTTGCACAATTACGGTGCTCAGCGTCAGGAAACAACTCTTTAATCACATGTGTTAATCCCTACAAAATATAACAAACAAAATAAATATAATCCAAAGCTTAAATAAAGTGTTACAAGTGGTTTTGTATTGATTTATTCTTTACCTTTTGTTGGTCACTAATTATAGTCCAATGGGAAGTATTAGTGATGCCCAAATCTGACTTCAATAGCCCAAGAAACCAACCCCAAGAATCAGTGTTTTCTATCTCTACAATCCCCCAGGCTATAGGATACATTTGGTTGTTAGCATCTCTATCAACTGCACTCAGTATTTCACCTTTCAGCATTCCCTTCAAAAAACATCCATCCAACCCAATTACTTTTCTACATCATTCTAAAAACCCTTTCTTTAAAGCTGCAAAACAAACATAGAATCTCGGAAAAACAGAAGGGCATTCAGGTGTTGTTTTATTGGTTTTTACAAAAGCCTTGGTACCGGGATTAGAATTGATACATTCAGCAGCATAATCCCTTATTCTACGAAATTGGTCTTGAAAACCAGTATCAATTCTCTTCAATACAGCTTTGATTGCCCTCTTTACCATGCAGATTCCCACATTCAGTTTCAATTCAGATTGGATGTGTTTTTTCAATTCTGTTTGTCCAATTGAAGGATTGTCTCTTATCTTATCTTCATACCGCTCCTCTATCCATGATTGGCTTACTAATCTTAAGCTGTACTTTAGATTGCACCTATGCTCCGTAGTCACTGTTTTAAGTTGAAAACAGTTAAAAGTGTCATCCCATGATCCATGAGCTTGAAATGGACAAGGCTAGTCACATGCAAGGGACACACGATGTGGCTCATTCCTCACAAAGTGGATATTTCTCTTTGAGTAAACAGCATAATTGATCATTGCCTTTCTAAACTGTTTTGCATCATCATATAGGGTAGCAACTTCAAGCTCAACTGACTCAACATTTGGATTGTAGGAAGGGTATTTAAATCTACTTGTTGCTGCACTAGTTGTCTGCTCAAATGATGCTTGTACCTCTTCTTTTTCATATTGATAACTCAATGGGTCATCAGAGTCATAATACTGACTTTGCACATCATCCTTCTCACCCACATTTTGAGTGTCACCTTCTGCCCTAGCCCTTCCAATGTCCTCATCATTATTTTCTGCATTTTGGCACTCAACATCAACGAAATCAACTCCATCTTGAGGATTTCTTTCCAAATCAGAATCTCCATTTTCATGACTGCTTTCCAAATTAGCTTCTTCATCATCTGGATCATCTTCTTCTACTTCAACATCTTCTTCAATATGATATGCATGCTCAGGTTCTGGTAATGGTAAATTTGCAACAATCTCTGCCTCATCTATCCCATGCTCAACATACAAGTCAATTGCACCCCAATGTTGAGCCAAGTAACTCATGTGCAATGTACTTTTATCATTATTCAACAATTGGAGGCTCTTTAAACTCTCATGTAGTAGTTTAAATGACAATGACAATATTTTACCATACCTCTCCTCCTTAATAAATTTCAATAAGTGAGGATATGATAAAAGATCAGGGTCCATTGTCATTGTTTCCACCTCACCACCTATATACTCAATCCTATGTTCTTTTACAAAATTTCCACCCTGGTGAATTCTGATTTCAACAGTGGAATACATTCTACAAAATATAGACATGTTTAATTGTATTAAAAGCATTCTAACTGGATTACAAAAAGCACACTTTTTACTATTTTGAAACAATTGTTAGCCAAAGACTAAAAAAATGCTTTTGAAATTCAGAATGGATTATATTGCAAACTGTAACTAACACTACGTCCCAGTGTATGTTGGAATATATATATATAGAAGCTGCAAGGGTACAACATCATATCCACCTAATAACACAAGTGTATATGGTTTTAATTATAATATATATGGTGACTAGAATTGAAGAATATTAAAAACGAACAAACAGTGAACATTAACAAATAACAATAATATTTTATGGGGTTTTTTTTTAAAGAATTAATGCAGAGCAATTAACCTACATGAGATGAGGTTTGCAGAATCTGAATCTAGTAATAAGAGAAGAGAAAGCTAGGGATTATGGAGTTCAAATGTTTATGCAGAACCTGAATCTAGTAGTGCAAGTCTACAGTGGAGGATGAGATGGTTAGAAAAACTAAGAAGAAAGTTGGAAATCAAACATAAACTAAGAAAGAAACACAGACACCAACCAAACCAAAATAAAATATGTTCTCCACCAATATTACCAGGATTACAAACAACATACTTTTTACATTTTTAAATAATTATCCTTCCCAATAAGCATACTTTTTACAGCCTACAATTTACATATAAAGCCAAATTGTACTGGCAGTAAACATTAGTGTAGGGACCATTCAATAACCTGATATATAAAATACCACAACTACACTTATTGCAATGCATTCATCAGGACCACAATACCCAGATTGTCTCCATTATTGACAACATAATGGGACCCAATCCTTAAACAAATACAATCAAAGATAAACAAATAAGCTTTGAAAGCTACTGCTCATTCACCCTAAACATATAAGAAAAGGTTTATTTTTCCATACTCAAACAAATTTGCGGTAGCATATACCCTAAAACCAGTGGTAGAAGAAATTCCTACCGCCTAAAGAAAAAGAAAAAATCTAAACCCTAAAACCAGTGGTAGAAGAAAAAGGAAAAATACCTTCAATAGTGATGGTGGTGCGACGAGGTGGTGGAGCGATGACGAGAGACGACTGGTGGTGGTGAGCGATGACGAGCAGTTGGATTAAGGTGAGAACGACAGAGATTTTGTTGGTGAATTACGGCTGGACGAAACGCGATTTTGGGGCTGAACAACCGGATGCGGTAATGAGTTTATTTGACCCTTAAATTTTTTTATTTATTTAATTTTATTTTGTTAATTTATGCTGATGTGGCGAATCCAAATAACATAAAATAAATCTTACGTGGCGCCACATAGTCAATTACCTGCTATTACCTGTGGAGTTACCGATTAATGGGGTCAAGTGACTCAAAATTGTGTCTTCATATGTTCAATTGACCTTTTCAAAAATTTGTGGGGTTAATTGACCTTTAGCAAAATGTTTAGGGGCCTATTTGACCCTTTTCTCATAATCATATAAAATGTTTTTAATAAATAATAATAAGATTAACTATAAACGATTACTTACCGCCGGTAAATCAGTAAAAGGGTCCGGAGAACTAGCTTTTTCATTGTGAAAAGCTCGCAACTCGAGAGAATCCTAACATATATAAACAATATTTAATAATGATTACTATTTTTAATGTAGAAAAGTATAACATATTTACTTATAATTTTTCCACAACCATTCTAGTCGCTTCGGTGGAAAAATTTCCCTACTTATCCATTCTTCCATTTTTCGTGTCTACGTGGAGGAGATAGAGGAGTAAATACACATGATGGATTTGAATTCAGAGCTTCTTGTTGTTCTTTCAACTTCTCTTCCATCATAATCTTCTTCAACCTCTTATAGCTTCATCGAGGTAAACTATGTGGATGGAGATTCTTAGCTTGTATCTCTTGATGTTTTTTTTTTCTTTTTTTTTTTTTGCCTACATAAAAATAAAACATTAATTAATAATATATAATTAAGATATTTGAGTTAATAATTGATTGAAAAATAATGATACCTCATATTTTCGACCTGTATGAAGTTCAACAAACTTTTTCATGTTTCTTGGTCAAGGTATGAGTATTTATCACATGGGTTCTTATTTGAGTCAGTACTGTATATGTATGTGCTAGTCAATTTTGTTTTAAAGTCTTTCTACCGTTGACTCGCATATTTCACCCAACAATATATTTCAGTTGTGCTGAGAATATCATAAGCACTCTACAAGACAAGATTATTTTTTAGTAAGAAATATAATATATATATATATATATATATATATATATATATATATATATATATATATATATATATATATATAGATTTTGGATCAGGTGCACACCCCCTTGGCAGATGAGCTCGTGAGCCTCTTTTCTGACCATTAATTAGTTTAGATGAATGGTCCAGATCATTTGGGAAATTTCACACGTGTAGCAGCTCTTTTGTTAACATTAGGGCTTTTTTTGTAAATTTGCAATAGCTTTTATTATAGGATGTATTTAATTTTGCCTGGGAATCTGCGAGAGTATTTCAACCCTTTGTATTCAATCTCTGTCTGTCTCTTCCAGCCATTCTCTTACTCCCCATCAATAGCTGACCTCCATCATCTCTCCCTCTCCATCAAAAATCTCGGTGGGTGAAGTTCATCATGGTGGCGCCTACTGTACGCCGATCGAAGAGGCAACGGCGGGCTAACGGTGGTTCCATCGAAGGTAATCGCAATCTCCATTATTGTTGTTCTAAAGTCAAGTTTGGGGGTGTCTTGCATGTGTATGGTTGTCTTCTCGTTTTTTATCGGCGGTTTGTGCTCCAATGGCAGTCAAATTGTGTCGTCGGGGTTTTGTCTGGTTGTGGGTTCTTTTTGTGGGTGCGGGGCTATGGGGCGGTCGCTGCATGGGCGGCGTCTTGTCGCCGGGGGACTGGGGAGTCGGTCTGGGAGCCGGGGTCTGGGAAACATCTTTCCGGCGGTAGAAACATATCCGGCGAGCATTTTTTTTTAATTTTTTTTTTTGTTATGCTGTTTCCATTTTTTTTTTGTTTTTGTTTTTTCCTCTGTATATTTGCTTGGGCTTTGTTTGTAATTGTTTTGGGGGGATAGGTGTAATTGCCTGCGATTGAAATGAAGGAAAATGCATCTTAGGGATATAGTATGTGCGTTCCAGTATAAATTTGTGGGATATAGTATGTGCATATAGCGGATATTGTATTTGCGTTAAGTATGTTCAAACATATTTGTGTAGATTTAGTATCGTGGTTTTGTATTTTTAATTTTTGAGCATATTAAAAATGAATAATATGGGAGGGGTATGGCCGTATGGGCGCAGTAGTGACTATGCGTGTACATTTCTTGTTAGCCGTAATTTATGTTCATTGCCCCCATGTTACCATCTTTTACATGCACATTTTGTGCATTTTGCTGTCTGAGTATGTGCATTTTTTTTGTTGTTAGTATGTCGCTATATGTTTTTTATTATATGTTTTAATTTGGTTAGGTATAAGTGTTTGTTTGCCGTGTTAACTATCTTGATTTTGTATTTATAAAGTTTGTTTTAGGGTGATGCAGTGTGTTGAAACATCTTTTTCATTTAATTATACAATGGGTATTATGTGGTTTTTAGTTCTTTTTGTTTTTTAAGTCTGTGCATACGTATACATTATAGGTATATAGTGTGTGCGTTACAGTGTAGAATGCGCTGGTATGCACATTTTTTATGCTAATTAGTGTGATGTAAACATCTTTTTCATTTAATTATATCATGGGGAATATATAGTATGTGCACCAGAGATAGTATAGGTGCCTAACGCAGTGAAAAATCCTATTTTTTTTTTGTCTATTTAAGTCTGTGCAAATGTATGGTATGGTAGGTGCATTTTTGTGTTGATTACAATGTCGAGTATGTTTTTTGTGGGGAGTGTATGTGGTTTGTGCTTGGGATGTAGTTAAATGCAGTGTTATCTATTTTTATGATGGTGTTATTTTCGATTTTTGCAGGTCAAGGTGACCCACACACCCCAGTTGGTGTAACCGATCCGGTTGCAACTTTACAGCCTGACCCCCCCCCCCCCCTCGAAGAACACCACCCCCCGCCGACCTCGGCACCACATGAAGATAACGAGGTGGCTCAAGCCCCATCTGACCCGGTGCCGGATAGTGTTCCGGATGAGGATGAGATTAAGAATCTGAATTGGTGCAAATTTGTGATCGATTGTTTGGTTGACAGGCATGCAAAGTGGTCTATGGATACAAAACAGTCATTTACTGTGCATTTACATAATATCTATTGCATGGGTTTAGTAGGTGAAATATGCAGTAGTTTTTTATATTATTTGTGCTTTATTTCTGTTTTTTTTAAGAGTGTACTTTTAAGTTTGTGTGTTTTAAGTGAAATATAAGGGTATTCTTTGCTTTTTTTTAGCATGCACCTTGGGCGTTTTTTTTATGATTGTAGGTATATGGTATGTGCATATATGTATATGTAGTTTGTGCATTAAGGGTTATATTGTTATAACATGCACATGAAGGTTTATTTTTGGGACTGTAGGGTATGGTATGTGCCTGTATATATATAGTGTGTGCTTTTTGAGGTGTTGGTCTTTGCGTTGCATATTTAGTATGTATATTATGTATTTTGTAGCTGTAACATGCACCTAGGGCTTTAATTTTCTGACTGTAGGTTACGGTACGTGCGTATATATATATACTGTGTGCATTAAGGGTTCTATTGGTAAACATCATGTGTTGTGCATTTTGTATGCATTTTACTCTATAATCCGTGCAATACGAGGTATATGCAATAACATGGGTTTATTAGATGAAATATGCAGTAGATAAGCATTATACAAAAACCAGCATACGCACAGACACGAAGTGTTCATGCACTTAATGGTCCAAACCCAAAAAAAAAAAACCACAAAACACGGTCACAGTCTATTTTGTTTATTAGGTAGTACGACGTACATTTTATCAGCATTCTACGAAAACCAGCATATGCACAGACACGAACCGTTCATGCACTTACTGGTACAAACCAAAAAAAAAAAAAACCAAAAACACGGCCACAGTGTAGGTTGTTTGTTAGGTAGTACGGCGTATATTTTATAAACATTATACAAAAACCAGCATATGCACAGACACGAAGTATGCAAGGACGAAAAAAAAAAACCACCGAATATGCACGGACACAAAAGTATATATGCACTGATCGGTACAACGCAAAACAAAAACAACACAGACACAGACTACCTTCACTACAACGTAGTACGGTGTACGCACAGGCAGGTGTACCCGTACGCACACGATTTGTGAACGCCTGCTATCGACCACCCCCAAACCCGTTTCACACCTCAACCATTTCGGGAAAAACCATGGTAGCGCACAGACTTAGAGGTGAATATGCACTTACCGTTACTGCCAATATCCATTTGCTGAAAGTCCTAAATTGTTGCTCCTACTATCACCAGCGACGTCATCACACATCTCCCATTGTTAACGCTAATTATGTCCTCTAATCTTTTTATTAATAGAATCTTTTAATTTCCATCCTCAAAAGCAGCAAAAGATGATTCATATTCCATTTAATTTAAGTCCTTAATTAAATTAGCCTTACAATTACTAATTTAACCTTACCATAGATAATAATGGACATTATTTCTTTTAATCTCAACCATAGATGGGAATTCAATCAATGGGTATTATTAGGCCTCATGGGCTCATCTATTAGAGGGGTGCACCAGATCCAAAGCCTATATATATATATATATATATATATATATATATATATATATATATATATATATATATATATATATATATATATTTTGTATAAATGTAAATCTAAAAAATAAGTTACCATGATATCTTTCCAAATAAGGTCCATAGTCTCTATTGGGACCTTATGCCATGACTCTATTGTCTCAATTAGAATTAATCTCACTATAAATTCATGTCCTAGGATTTGAACCCTTAACATTTAGAAAAAACTAAACATCTTACCATCTAAACTAATTCAGCATTTAGTTAAATTTATGTAAATTTAGTAGAATTAAGTTCCCGTGCAGTTTAGTGTCTCCCGTGCAGTGATTAATGTGCGTGAGTTTTGTACTTAAGGTGCGTGAGTCTTGTGCTTAAGGTGCGTGAGTTTTGTGCTTAAGGTGCGTGAGTGTGTACTTAATGTGAGTAGTGTTGAAACTTAAGGTGCGTGCGTTTTGTGCTTAAGATGCGTGAATTTTGTACTTAATGCGCGTGAGAATAGTGTTCTTAATGTGAGTAGTTGTTGAAACTTAAAGTGCATGAGTTTTGTGCTTAAGGTGCGTGATTTTGTGCTTACAGGGCGTTTGGTTGGAGAGGGGAAATTACGTGGGAAAGGAATTGCAATTCCATTGGGAGATGAATTACTGGAATAAAGTGGGAATTTAAATTCCAGTGTTTGGTTTACAGGAATAGAATTATTGGGAATTTCAATTCCAATGTTTGGTATACATGGGAACTGAAAGGGAATAAGTAGTATAAAGTCAAAAATGTCCATTGTTGTTGTTAGACATTAATTTTATGTTAAAAAAGGAAGGGATAATTTTGACTCATCACTATCTTTTTTTTCTTCCTAAAATCACAAGGGGGGACATGGGATTTTAATTCCATGAAAATGAGGGAATTGCAATTCCATGGAATTACAATTCCTTTCAACCAAACAAGGAAATTTTGTGGCCTTTGGAATTAGGTGGGAATTAAGTGGGAAGGAAATTTAAATTCCCTTCAACCAAACGCCCTGTTAATGTGCGTGAGATTAGTATTCTTAAGGTGTTTTATTTATGTGCTTAATGTGCGTGTGTTGTGTACTTAAAGTGCGCCAGTTTAATGCTTAATGTGTGTTTCTTCGCACAACCATATGGAAACCTTTTCCCGCACTTGATCCATTCCCAATTTAGTATTTATAAATTAACTATGTATATATATATAAACCTATACATACAATATATGTAAATGGGATGGGTGGGGAGTGGGGGGCAACTGTCCCCACTACCCCAATTGTGGCTCCACCATTGGGTGCTGTTACAATTTTTTTTCACGCAACCTACATTTTCCTCTTCATTGTTTCTTCCTCAACTTCACTGTTGCAACATACATTTTTATAATTTAAAAAGTACATTATTCTAAAGCATGAATTGCATTATTCTAATTTATAAAATACATTATCTTACGAGAATGCTCATTATCTAATACATAAAATACATTATTTTAACTCATAAAAGAGTTCTATTACACGTACTCTCAAAACACAAATAAGGATTATGGACTCACTTTGATAGTAATTAAACTACATTTTATGATGGAGGAAATTTTTGGCAAAGTGACGTCGTTTCTTGCCCTAATGCTCTACTGACTACTATCCTTGATCAATTTTTTATAGTTAGCTTTAACACCCATAGCCAGCAATCCATCAACTGCCTTCAACCGTTGCCTAGTAAGCTTGCACTGCCACCACCATCGGGGAAACTCAGCAGAGCCAGCGCCATCTTTCGCAGCTTTTCATCACCGCCGCCACCATCTTGGAAGCTCCGTAGCGCGACTATCATCGAGAGGACCTCCTAAAACATCTGGTAAGCCTTTTCCTACATGGTGGAAATAATATACACACACACACACACATATATTGGAACCCTAGAAATTGAAAATCTAAAGAGACTGGAAATGGAAATAGATACTCAGTGATTTGTATATAATGTGTGTGGAACTATGGAAAGAATGGGTATACCTATTAACTATGTGGAATTCTTATGTATTTATATTTCGAATTTAATTCTTATATTTGTCTTGATATATGCTTGCATTGGATTTCAATTTTTGTTATAATATACGATGCATAAAATTATGGCTCTAATTATTGAGGAAAAAGCAAGCCCTAAAACCCTGTGATTCTGTGAAGGTGACTATGGCTTTGTTATCATAATTTTAATGCATCTATACTTCAGTGAGGGATATCTCCCCATATCTACACATGTATGGGTGCTTCTGTGTGCTTTGCATTTGAATTTCTTTATGTTTGCAATGATTCTGTTAGTTTATTAAGGATTTTGTCTGAGTACATGTTGTATTAGCTGCCTCTTATAGTGTGGGATTCTTATAGATTGTTAGGGGGTATCTTTCCAGATGAGTTTGACAGTGGATTCCCCGGCACACTCATCAAGCAGTGATGATCTTGCGGCCTTCTTAGATGCAGAGTTGGAAACTGCTTCTGGTACATCATCTGAGCTGGAAGATGTGGAAGCAGAAGTAGAAGAGGGAGAGGAGGAGGGGAAGGATGATGAAGAACAATATGAAGATGAAAATGAAGATTGGGGAGAAGATGGTGATGGCAAAGACAACTCAGATGCTTCTAGGTACTTAAAAGTATTTTGCTCTTCAATTGGTTTTGGATTTTAAAAAATTGTGATTGGAAAGATGCTTCTAAATGCATTAAACTGAATTGAAACATAATAGATGGGGATTTTACATTTTTATGGGTTACATTACATGCTTAAACTATTTGTTAGATTTTGGGGAGAAAGTTGAAAACTGAATAAAAGATGTCACATTGAGTTTCAAAGAGAATATGAAGCAGTAATATTTAAGATGAAATTAACTTTTAGGGATTGTAAAATGTAATAGTTAGCTAATGATAGTTACGTTTTGGGGATGGTCTAAATGGAAATATATCTGTAGCATCTAGGTATGTATTACTTGAAAGAATGCTTACTGGCTAACTTTCCTGGGGAGGGGTGTGTCACACAAGTATTTGAAAGAATAGCCAAACATGTTGTAAAGTACAATATATTCTGGCTTTTGGGGGCATTAAAAGGATACTGACACAAGTATTTCATGCAAGTGCAACTGAATTTAGAACATATAATATTTTCACATGTCTCTCAAATTAACTTTGTCTAATATGCTTGGTATACAATGAAGTACTGTTAATAGACTGTTCTCATGCAATCCTCAGTAAGACCTAATCCTATTATCTGAGGCTTGTGTGCACCTTTTTGTATTCTAGTTACTGCTAGTCTGCTACAGAGGTAAGGATTAGGGGGAGTCGATGGAAGATAATTTAAGATGATATTTTCTGTTACAATGCTTTTGCAACATGTAATTTTATCTGCTTGTTTCTTCAATATTTTTGTTTATGTAGGATAAAACGGCGCAGGGTGGCAATTGACGAATGCACAGGAGATACGGAGAGTTCAAAATCTCGTGGAGAACCAGCAGAGACTTCTGGTGGGCATGCTTCCTTCTTCTATGAATCAAACTAGATCTTTAGCACCATTGAACTTTCAAAGAAATTTCTATACACACACATATACATACCCTCTTTTTGGTGTGTGACTTTACTGGAACCCTTTTGGTGCATTGTATTCTATTTATTTGGGAATAAAGAAGTGTCATATATTCCTCTTAACATCAACTACATGTATATTGGGTGGATGACATTGTTTTTGCCTAATATTTAAATGATTGTAGGTGTTTCAGTTAAGATGAATACGTGTACACATCCCGGTGTTATTGGTGGAATGTGTATACGGTGTGGGCAGTTAGTGGACGATGAATCTGGTGTGTCATTTGGGTACATCCATAAGGTATTTGTTGGATATTCTGATGGCTTAGTTCTGGCAAAATTGCTATCTTCTACAATTTGTTTAATATTTTATATTGGTACACTTTTTTTTTTCTTTTTTCATATAACTATATAAGCATGGTGTGTTTATATTTATGTAAATCTAGTGTAAAGATCTTTTTGATACAGCCATCAACCTTACATGGCTAAGTATGGTATGGATAATTGGATACCATGTATAAGAAGAGCAAAACTAGGGACTGTATAATATTTTCAAAAGCTTATATATTTAGGGAAAAGGGTCAAATAAACCCTCCAACTTTGTGTAAGAAGTCAATTAGGCCCCCGAACTTTTGACAGTTGCAATTAGACACACTAACATATTAATTTAGTGCATCAAGGCCCAAAACCCTAATTGTGACTTGCTAAAGCAGGTCAATAATACACCGGCGGAGCTCCGACGACATTCCGAAGAAGGCATGACCAGCAGGTCACCGGAAAAGGCAACCAAACTGGTCGCTGCCTCCGTCGACCGGAGAAGTCGACCAAACTGGTCGCCTTCTCCGTCGTTGGAGAAGCTTCTCCAGTAGACAGAGAAGGTAACCAGTTGGTTGCCATCTCCAACGACGGAGAAGCAACCAGTTGGTTGCCTTCTCTGGTCCACGGAGACAGCGATCAGTTTGGTCGCCTTTTCTGCCGACTTGCTGGTCACACCTTTGCCGGAGCTCCGCCTGTGCATTATTGACCTGCTATTGCAGGTCACTATTTGGGTTTTGGGTCTTGATGCACTAAATTAATGTGTTAATGTGTCTAATTATAACTTTCAAAAGTTCGAGGGCCTAATTGACTTCTTACATAAAATTGAAGGGTGTAGTTGACCCTTTTCCCTATATTTTATGCTATCGAAGCTATGTTATGTGGTGAAGAAATATTTGTACTCCAGCATTTCAGCTTATGAAGTAGATTCAATAAGCTGACTTTCATATTAACTTATTTTTGCAGAATTTAAAACTCACTTATGATGAAGTTGCTAGATTGCGGGAAAAAGACTTGAAGAACCTGCTGCAGCATAAAAAACTTTATCTGGTTCTTGATTTAGATCACACAGTACTAAACTCAACTAGGATCTCAGATATTTCGGCTGAAGAAGAATACCTAAAAGATACCCTTCCTGGTGTGACTTCTTTTTTCAGTTTTTATGTTTCTTATTATCTATTGCAATTACATGTTCATATATTATTTCTGTATATCTTTGCGCATATCACTTGGATAAGGTTGATTTTGGCCCTGTTTGGTAAAATGGCTGTTAGCTGATAGCTGTTTGCTGTTAGCTGATTGTGTTAATTAGAGGGTATAAATAGTTGATAACATTAGCTGATTGTAGAAAAGTGTTTGGTAAATTAGCTGTTAGCTGATAGCTGTTTGGTATAATTTCTTTTCTCAAAAAGCTAATTGAAAAAGTTGCTAGGAGTAGCTTTTTTAATTTTAGCCTTTTGAAGTTGCAAAAAGCTAATTAACTAAACATTTATATTGATATTTTAACTAAATCAAACAATTAATAGTGATCAAATAAGCCAAAATTGGCCTATAGGCCAATTTTTTACCAAACAGTGCCTTTATCTTCAACATAGGATCATATGTACTTCAAGAAGATGAAAATTGCTCCCTCTCTTCACGTCAAAGATGAAAACTAAGTGGGTTAAAAAATTACAAGCCATGTTTTGAAAATAGATAGTGCTGGTTTTAGGAATGCTACTGGACTTTTGATTGTTCTCATAGGGCCTGTTTGGTTCAAATTGCTTAGTGAGGGTATTATTAAACCCTTCACTACGTGTATTCCAGAGCATGTATCAACAACCCCCTCCCCCTCTCTGACACAATTCCAAGCTTAAAACAAACATGGGAATGGAGGGGATTACATGTTCAATACCCTCTATTCCCTAAACCAAACAGTCTCCTGGACTATATAAGTAATTGGTGATTTTATATCCTCTCTATCTCTCTCTGTCTCTCCTCTTCTCAATCCCCCATATCCCAACCCCTTATATACTAGAAGATATTTTGGTCTTTTAATCAGAGTTATAGTTTTATCATGACTCCAGATTGATGATTTGATAGGTAATTGTCTCCCTAATGAACAGATGCTCTGAAAAGCAGCCTTTTTAGGTTAGACAGGATCCACATGATGACAAAGTTGAGGCCTTTTGTAAACAACTTTCTGAAAGAAGCAAGTGATTTATTTGAGATGTATATTTATACGATGGGTGAGCGTCCTTATGCGCTGGAAATGGCTAAATTGCTTGACCCTAGAGATGTGTACTTCCATTCTAGAGTGATTGCACAGGGAGATTCAACTCAGAGGCATCAGAAGGGCCTTGATATTGTTTTAGGGCAAGAAAGTTCTGTCCTCATACTTGATGATACTGAAGTGGTAATCTTTTCCCATATTTCTTGAAGTTTTAACCTTATCTTGTAATGTGGTGTTTGGCCTGATAGACTAAATTTTTTACTTTTGTAAATGAAGCTTGCTACAGAATCACTTTCCTCGAGTGTATATGAGCTTTTACAATCTCATATATTTCATTTTCCTTTTCTCATTCCACCTTTTTTCCTTGGCAATGAGTGGACAAGACAGTTTCAGACAGTAATAAATATCTGATGCAAACTTTGGCTACCTCTTTTTTTTTTTCCATTATGCTTTTTGATAACTTACATAATCTTCCTTTAAGCCAGGACAAGAGTATTCAACAATTTCTCTTATTTGTTGTAGGTATGGGGAAAGCACAAGGAGAATCTAATACTAATGGATAGGTATCATTTTTTTGCTTCAAGTTGTCAACAATTTGGCTTTGATTCTAAATCACTTTCACAACTTAAGAGTGATGAAAGTGAAGAGAATGGAGCACTTGCTACTGTTCTTGCAGTTCTTAAACGGATCCATGGTATTTTCTTTGATCAGGTACCCTAAATATAATGCCTTTTCTATTTAATTTTAATTTTGTGACTTAAGCTTCAATGAATAAATTGCACTGATCTGGACCTCTTTTTTCAGAAACGTGGAGACAATCTGCTGGACCGTGACGTGAGAGAGGTAAGAACTCCATCTATTATTTGAATTAAGCATGTAACCCATAAAAATGTAAAATCCCCATCTATTATTATAATTACTAATGGGACACCATCACGTCAAATCTAGGACCAAAAATGGAATTAACTCCAATTTAGAATTTGCATGCCAAAGTATTGCTTAATAACTTTATCATCGAGTTTGGTGATGATTTTCCCTTTTTTCCCCTGTTAGGAGTTATAAAGTTTCTTCCTCCTCCAATTGTGATGACAGGTGCTAAAAGGAGTCCGTAAAGAAGTATTGGAAGGTTGCAAAATCGTTTTCAGCCGAGTTTTCCCGACCAAATTCCATGCTGAAAATCATCACCTTTGGAGAATGGCTGAGCAACTGGGAGCTACATGCACCACGGAACTCGACCAATCTGTTACACATGTGGTCTCAATGGATGCCGGGACTGAAAAGTCTCGCTGGGCACAGAAAGAGAATAAATTTCTAGTCCATCCCAAGTGGATTGAAGCTGCCAACTATCTATGGAAAAAGCAAGCTGAGGAGAATTTCCCAGTCACAGTCTCAGTCAGTACAACAAACAACAAATAGTTAACCTTGTCAAATCTGGGGACTAACTAATAGCTTCATTTTGTTTATAAATATTATATGCTATAGACAACTTTAGATAGGTTAGCTATGGATTGTTGAAAATTCAGATATAGTTTTGAACATCATTCTGTGAGAGTGGTAAAGCAAGGCTGTGATGCCTTCTTGTAGGCTTACTAGTGTAAATCTCATTTGATATGTGAACAGAGGAAAGAACAGATGAGATCCAACTTCATTCACAATTCAATTCCATCAGGAAAAACTTGTCTGAAACAGGATTCATACTACTTTATGCTATACGAAGGTTGTTGGTGCTAGAATCGAATCATTTTATGTTTGGAGTTTCAAAGATCAATTGTTAGGTGTCACTCAATCTCAACAGTAGATGTATGTCTGACGTGTGAATCTGAAAAACATTATTTTTGAATACAAAACACCGTAATCAATTACATATATCTTAACATTGTGTGTTTGTAGTATATAAATTGTGAATATGCAGTTGTAAAATTGTGAATATGCAGTTGTAAAAAAATTGTGAACAAAAAGCAGAGGGTTTGAATATGCAGTTGTAAAATTGTGAACAAAAAGCAGAGGGACCCCTAAACCTATTTAGTTAAACACGAATTTTGAACACGGAGTTCTAAATTATGAAAAAATGGCAAGGCCGAGCTAACCGGGTTAACTCGACCGAAATGGACGAATTAACTCAACCGAGTTAGGCGCTAGGCGACTGCCTAGGCGGCCCGAGTCGGCCAAGTTAGGCGCTAGGCGGACGCCTAGGCGGGCGCCTAGGGGGGAAATCGCCACGGTCTAGGGGCGCCTAGTGCCTAGGCGGGCGCCTAGATCGATTTTTACAACAGTGGTGGTGGGACAACCGAAACGCGTTTTTTTTTTAGCACCAGACCATATGTAAGTGTGTTTTGCATACAAATATATGTTAAGGGTCCGTTTGGAAAGTAGGAAAATGACTTCTGGAAAATGGTTTCTGGAAAATGAGTCATTTTCCGGAAAATATTTTCATTTTCCAGTGTTTGGTTGCATTTGGAAAACTGTATTGGTGTGTTTGGTTCATTTTCTGGAAAATGAGTACAATGTTATAATTAAATATTTTATTCTGAATAAAAAATACATTTTAAATCTTTAAAACTAAAAAAAACAAAAACAAAAACAAAATTATGGCTTCCGGCGGAACTGCCTTGGTTTCTGACGGAACCCAGTTCCGCCAGAAGCTTAAAAAAAATGAAATAGAAGTGGCGGAAAATGACTTCCGCCCAAATTTGGCGGTAGTCATTTTCCGCCAAATTGAGCTTATTTTCCCCAGTCAACGGAAAATGTTTTCCGTTGACTGGATTTTTCAGGTGTAGCCAAACACCAAAAACCCGGAAAATGATTTACAGAAGTCATTTTCCGGGTTTCCAAACACAGCCTAAATGTGAGTTTATAGTAAACAGATTGTGAATATTCAGCAACCTTGGGTGAAGATTAACACCAGGGGTGAAGCTTGTCATGAACAACCTTGGAAATCAAGGCACCAAGAGTGAAGATTAACACAAACACCACCACAGCAACCTAAGCACTCTAGGATTTACCAATAAAGCCTTCATTGAGAGCAAATGAAAAACTAAAATAAAGCAAAACTAAAGGAAACTTATTTTCTTGGGTTGCCTCCTAAGAAGCGCTAAGTTTAATGTCGCTAGCTCGACTCAACCTCTCAAAGAACAATCCTTGCATGCTTGGATGAGGATGAGTTCCTTTTCTCCATCCACTTTCTCTTCAATGAATGTCCTTAAATACCAGGCATTAAGGAACTCTTTAAGCTCAAAAATAGCATATTCTTCTCAAAGAAATTACAATGATCCACTTCCGAAAATATGCTCTCTTCTTCAATTTTCATCTCTTTTTCTTCTACCTTTCCTTCCAAATAGCACTTCGAGTGGTGGCCATCAATAAGTTCCTTTAAGATCAAGTTCACCACTCTAATTGCTAAGATTCCCTCATTCTTCATTCCAAGTTTCATGCCTCTTTCCTCAAATTAATTCTTGATCCACAAATCAAATAAGGATTTCTTCCTAAACATTGCTTCTTGGTAGTAGAGATGAGATTGACCAATCCCAAAGTCTCCATTCCTATTATCTTCTTGATTACCTTTTCTTGAGCAAGTAATGGAAATCTTGGGTCTTCGTTATGCACCAATAGGAAATGAGAGTCCTTAGATATGAATATCGGCCAATGGGGGCCTACACTCTCAAACCCATCAACTCCTCCCGATTCCCAAACTCTTCTAAAATTCTCAACAATGGAGTTTTCATCCATTGAAGGAGTTTCCTCATTCACTTCATGCATTCTATCAATCTCATTCTCCTTCTCATTCAACACTTCCTTTTCTACCGGAGAATTTTGGAGTTGTTCATTGCCCCCATTTTCAACTTCCTCCTTACCACCATTCCCATGCAACTCCACACCTTCTTCCCAATTTAAAGGTTCCATCTCAATTTCCTCATCAACTCCATCATCATCATCTTCACCATCAATGTCATCACCTCGATTTTCATTTTCTTCAACTACATGACCTTCATTTAGTAAAGAGCAACTTTTGTAGAATCTTAACATTGGAAGACAATTCTTGAATGGGTTCTTGAGTTGCCAAACTTTGTCCTTGAGCCATCATGTTGTCTAGTTGAACTTGTAACTCATTCATTTGCTTAAGCATGTTGGCCATTATAAACTTCATCTTCGGATCTTGATCAAATGGTTGGAATTCTTGTTGAGGTTCTTGATAGAGTGACTCTTGAGCTTCCCATTGATTATTGGCATATTCATCCTCACTTAGTCTCATGGGATAGCCCTCACCCTCAATGCCATCATTGGGTACAATAGTGTCTCACCAACGCCTAGCCAATGCCAACGTCTCCTCATCTACTCCATACCCCCCAACACTTGGTGAATGGGTGTGATGATCATATGAGGGTTGAGTGTCTTGGGGGTATGGTGTGTAATGAATGGGTGAAGGGTATGAATTTGGAGAGTAATCTTGTGGTGGGAAAGGATGTTGAGGTGGATTGTAGTCTTGTGAACATTGAGGGTATTGATCATTAAAAGCATATTGGGGATCTTGATATTGTTGAGGATAGAGATTATGGAATGAAGATTGGGAATGACAAGGTAAGTCTTAGTAGGATTGTGGTGGGTAAGGATATTGAAATTGAGCATCATGGTAGCTATTTGGAGGTGGGGCTTGAGGTGTACAAGGATTAACGGATGGAGCATTATAGTATCTTTGTTGAGGCATGTAGTCTCCAAAGCCTCCAAAAGATTGAGAGTTGTAATACCTTCATTGATCCATCATGGAAAATTACTTTCAGCCAAACCAAATGATGTAAACTTGACAAGAAAAATAAACAAAGAAAAACAAAAACTTAGTCTCCTAAGATTTCTTAAACTCTAATGCTAGCAAAACAAGAAATCACATAGAAACACCAAATTGCTAATCCCTGGCAACGGCGCCAATTTTTTGTTATAGCAAAAATGAGTGATGGTGAGTGTACGGGTGTGAAATGTCGTCCTCAGGGGATTGGGGGTTATGGCACGCAATATGCAGTCACAATAAACTAGGCATTATCATAAGGAAATCAACAAGAAGCTAAGCAAACTACAAGTTTAAGGAAATGGTAAGACTAACACATATCTACTATACTAATACTAATAATAAGAGCCCAAGAGAGTTAGGCCTATAATGGGTAGAAAAAATGGCGGTCAAATTTTTTAATCAAATGAATGGCTCAGATTGATCAGATTTTAATTTTTCCTTGAGATTTCCTAATTTATCCTTAATGAATATGATTATCCGTTAACTTTCCGTTAAATATTATATTTTCCGTTAATTTCTGGTAGTTCACCATTAACTTACTCATTGATTTCAATAAGAAAGGTCTTAGGTTCGAACCACATCCCAATCAAAGTTGGCATAATTAGTATTCTATTTTACTCTTATTAAATTAAATTATAATTTAGTAGCTATAACAAAAAATAATGCATATGCAATTCTTTAATTTAGAATTATGCATGTGTCTACAATGCCTTTATTCAAGAAAAAAAAAAAGTATTAGTTGAGTCACCATGATTTACATCCTCCCAAATGTTCTGTCCGGCCGGGGTGTGGGGGGGGGGGGGGGGGGGGGGGGGGGGTCCTTAGGGTTGGAGTTCCGCCTTTTGGAAGAAGAAAAAAAATTATTCATTATCAATAAATTAAATAAGAGAAATAATTTCATTAGTTATATTGTCTTTATTTTTCTCCAATATAAAAATTCTTTACTTTCAAAATTCAGATTCATCAATTGATTATATTCGCTACATTGTCCCTACAATGTCTTTATTAAAAAAATTATTCATTATCAATAAATTAATTAAGAAAAATAATTTCATTAGTTATATTGTCTTTATTTTTCTCCAATGTAAAAATTCTTTACATTCAAATTCATTAATTGATTATATTCACTACATTGTCTATTATCTTTTTTATGCACTATTTTTTAATTAAGTATCAAAGTTATAATACAAAATAATGCTATATATTTATTTACCAATTATTTTATTAATACCATGAAAAATTTTAAAAATTTAAATTAATAAAGTCAATTATATCAACTATTGAGGGATTTGTTGACAAAGTTCAAATCACGCAACAAATTGAAGTGAGAAACTACCTCGCAATGTCCTTGTTTGACACTCAGCAGTTAGCGGTTAGCGTTAGCGAATTATATTAGCGAATTTGACCATCGAATTATATCAACGATTGGTAAAAAGATATTTAAAAAACTTAGCTGTTTAAATTAACATTTAAAATGACCTAAGGGCATAATAATAATAATAATAATAATAATAATAATAATAATAATAATAATAATAATAATAATAATAATTGTTTTAATAATTGTTTTTAAAAAAAAATATAGATGTGTTTTGTTTGGGAAATCATTCTCAAAAATGTTAAGTGAAAATATTGTAAATTGCAATGTATGTATTTTCAGTGGTTTGGAACAAATTGTTGCTTCAAACGATTGAATAACCAAAACACTTTCTTTAGCATTTTGATCTTTGGGTTACATCATATTTACCAATCGTCCAATATCTTTGGGTTACATTATAATTAAAAAATTTAAATTTTTACTACATCTAAATTCCTTAAATTATGAATTTCTTTATCCATAATAATTTATTCTACAATAATGGTTGAACTAATTGAACACTGAGCAAAACACCTAAAGGACTGGTACCGTTGATTCATTCATTAATCTTGT